CCCCCCACTAGACAGGCGCCCGTGTCCAATATTGGAGATGCAGTATGCATGAATGAATGCATAATGACATGTATAACCTACTGTACACAATATGTTCCATGTTGATATCTAGAAATTTTCCGGCTAATTGCGGCGATACGAGTTCCGGTGCAGTTTAGCCCTGTCTGCTCACAGCACACCGGAAACACAGACATAGATTCATCCATTTCCGGTTTCTGGTCGAAAGATTTAATCCCGACGATATAATCCATGTTGTATCGATCAGAAGGAATTAACTCAATATTCGAGTAGAGTCACAAGTTGATAGAATTTTATTAAACTAGGTTTGCCATAATTTTGGCTTTATTTTACTTTATAATTAGTTTTTTAAACACTAAAAAAAAATAATTTAAGGTTTGGTAAATTTTCTGTTTCAATGGTGGTTACCAAAATTATTAGAAAATAAAAAATTTTAAGGTACACTTTTTATTTTTGACCGACCATCCTGCAGACATGTGAGCTAGGACATATTTAAAAAGTATGGGTTTGTTCGGTTCAGCCGTTTTGACCTTTAATTTATCTTAACAAGCCCTCAGCTAGAGCACCCAAATATATTATACAGGGATACCCACGAAGGATGACTGTGCTCTTCCTTATATTCGTTATTCCCAGTGCAACTATAAACTTCTTTCTTTGCTAAATAAAGATCCCATTTAAGACAAAAGACTAGGGATCGTCATATTTGAAAAGTTTCTGGTCGTCTTTACAGTCTTATCCTTTGGTTAACGGTAAGAAAACAAACAAAGGAATTGGAAATAAATCTCATGAATGTTCAGATCACGTGTCCACTTGTTAGAAACCACTGTCAATTCTCTGTTCAGAAGAGTTGTGAATAAAGTTAAAGGATTTTAGGTTAAATAATTATTTTTAATGGCCTCCACTTTTGGGGAACTCTGTCTGTTAAAACATTTAAAAAGACATTTATATCTTGACGCCCCCCCCCCTCCTCCACGGAACCGATACATCCCAATAGATTAAACTATATTGGGTATCGGCGGTGTGCTATACAAGCCTGGTTTTGGGGTTTACGACAACTCAAGATTAAAGATTTTTAAAACTTTTTCTAAAACAAAAACGCTTAACTTTGGACACTTGGTTATCTTTAACGCTCTCCCAGACGTCCCGGGGATAACTTATTGTTATGAAAGGGACAGTCAATACAATTCTTAGTGATTCTTTAAAGATACAGCAGTAAGCGTAATTTCAAGTTCCCTTCATGACAATTGGATGGCAATGCCCGATTCACAGCAGTACACTTGAAATCGTTATTTGATCAATAATCTGCATTTTTAAAGTTTAAAAGTGTTTAATTCTGACAATTCCAATATGTTTTAGAAATGCGCCCCTTTAAACAAAACATATTTGCATGGAGGAGGACTTGAAACTAGTCTTACAATATCTTCAATTTTTTTTCAAAATTATTTTTAAATTGTCTATTTTCAAAATATAACTTATCTTAAACATTTGTTGGTTTGATACGCTTTCTTTACTTCCCCAGAAATCCCCGTGATTTTTTGAAGAGTTGGAATCTAGGAACCGGTTTGCCTTAAAGAGAAAGTCGTCTTTGTATAAACGTGTTTAATGAAATATGATAATTTTAAATTTTATTGGGCTGTTGTAACTGAAAAACTAATAAGAAATTTGGAAAGATTATGATTTATTTCATTGTACAATACACTGTACAATTTTACATTTGTATATGCAGATAGTAAAATTTAAATATTGGTACTTACTTTTCTGTAATTTATAAATGAATTGAGTCTTGGCCACAAACTTTGATTTTCTAATCCCTATATATTTGCAACCCTATGTAGCAGACCTTAGACATTTCAAACTATGAATTCTGTTAAATCAAAAAGTCTAAGTTAAGATCTACACCAGCAGGTTGCAAAGATATAGGAATTCGAAAATTTGAGTTTGTGACAAACCCCCAGACCCACGCAAGAAATTTTTCAGTTCCTACGGCTTTCAAACAGCTCTTACATCTTTCCGTGGGAGAAACATTAAAAATTTTATAAAATACACAAAACCCCGTGTTCAGGCTCGCGGAAGAAAATGTCAGAATATTTTTCCAATTTCTCGAATTTAAAGATAGAATCAGGGAAACATGGTGTCCGAACTATTCTCAGGTTTCTTTATTTTAGTGATACAATCTGTAACCTTTACATACTTCAGATTAGGACATTTTTCATCCCCCCCCCCCACACCTCACTGAGACCCATCCTCCCCCTTCCTCCCTATGTACCTGGCCAATCAAACACATCATAACCTACCCCCCCCCCATTCCATCTCCTTTAAAAATTACCCCCTTCCCTTTTGGGGGGGAACATCCACTTTGAAATTGGGGCAAACTCATGGTTTTCCTACAGCTATCTGATTGTAACCTTCGCCCCGGAATGGGGGATGCTCAGGGTGTGGGAAAGAGAATCCTACCTTCATATATATTTTTCCCTTTTTTCCAGTATTCTGTTCTCTACCCTTTACACTTATAAACAGTTATTTTGCCGTGTCTGCTAGTTCTTGGATCAGTAAAATAAATAAATCGAGTGAATTAAAAAATAATGAAAGAGACTGCCACTGTAATTTTATCTGTCCCACCATTTACAGAAGGCAATGCCCGATTCACAACGGTACCTTTTAAACTTTTATTAGATCAATAATGTCGAAGACATTGTCGTGTTTCTATGATTCTTAAAATTGTTTAATTCTGACAATTTCTTCCCTTAACTCCGTAGCAAGAAATCCACAAGTCTTTGTTAGATGAAATAATCTGAGTTTCACATATAAAAGGTTTAGATACAGCTAACAGATATAGGACTTAGAAAATCTGAGTTTGTGGTAAATACTCAATTCCATTTTACCCATTTTTTGGTCTTGCTTCTCATTTTCTAATCATCGTTCTTTTTCATTTTATCTACCTTTTCCCTCTGGTATAATTTGAATATTCTACCATTTTATTTGAATATTCAGTCTGTTTAACCTGATGTGGGGAAGATTAACACCTTCTGCCATGAATATTTATGCTTACGTTTTCAACTTATTACCTCACTTGAAAATAGTTTATGATTCTTTATTTGAACAAATGAATCAGTAGGTTTAGATTAGAAACTCAGCTTTCATTATGGCCGGGCGTGCAAAGTCATGAATTACGTTGTTTTGTTTCCATATTTGATTAAGATCTCCTTCTACAGATCTAAGATCTCCTTTAAATCTCCTAACTCTATGCAACCAAAAACCAAAAGTTTAAACCTGACAATTCTCCAATTAATTCAATTTCCCCGCTCCCTGAGGGTAGCTAATGCACAGATATAAAGCTTAGTTTACCGAAGGAAAAGATAACATTTATTTAAAACTCTTAAACTCTGCAACAATAAAGTCAGACGGGGCGCGGCATCTTTGAAAAAATGGCGGACAAAATATTGATGGGCAAGTAATATTTCGTTGGGTTGGTGGATTTCGGTAACCCTAGATAATAAAACCTAAATCTAAAATTCTCTTTATGGGCTTCTTAAAGAGATGACCGGGGTTTTTACTGTATGTTTGGAACCGTTATTTGCAGAAATATCGGATAGAAGAAATAAGACCATATACGAAATGAGGGATAACTTATAACTTACAATTCCTTTCATACTTGTACAGTATATACAGTACATATCATGCATGTACAATTTATACAGTACATATCATGCATGTACAATTTATACAGTACATATCATACATGTACATTTTACACAGTACAAAAAATACATGTACAGTGTACACTGTATACAGTACATATTATACATGCACACTGTTTACAGTTCATATCATACATGCACAATTTATTCAATACATATCATATTTGTACAGTGTATACAGTACATACCATACATGCACGCTGTATAAAGAACATATCATACATGTACACTATGCAGTATTTGTTTTACATTTACACTTCATACAGAACAAGGAGATATTGAATAGGAGGGGGCGATAGGGTTTCCTTACACTTTGCTGTGACGTTTCATGGACTGCTGAAGAACTATGGTTTTGCGTAACAACAATAATAAAGATTGTAAACAATAACACAAATGATAAACAGACATCTAGGGGGGGGGGGCAGGATTACCTTGAATTTGATTGAAATGTCTCTGTAATAAGGTCCTTTTCGTATAAAACTAAAATCCTTAACTTTTTCAATCTTTTTTAACAAGATAATACTACTTTCACAGTGTACTAACTCATGTTTGTTTACATTAGATCGGCTGCCTTTGTTATTGTTGTTACGAAAAACCTATTTCTTCAGCAGTCCAAAAACTTCACAGTAAAGTGTACGGAAACCCTATCGCCCCCGCCTTCTATTCAATATCTCCTTGATACAGTATATATCATACATGTAACACTTAATACAGTACGTATCATACATGTACATGCAGTACATATCATAAATGTACACTGTATAGTATACAGTACATATCGAACATGCATACTGTGTACACTGTAAGTATATACATTACATATCATACATGTACATTTTACACTGTATAGCATGCAGTACATATCATACATGTACACTGTATAGCATACATTACATATCATACATGGTTTTAATTTGAAATCTAAGCTAGAACTTTATTAAACTGTAAATACGGATTCATGTTTTTAATTTTCATTGAAGCACAATTTGTTTTATGACAAGTTCACTTCATTATCTGAAATCCTTTAAATCCTAAGAGTAAAAATTCAAGGTGTCAACAGGTTGTGGGCGCCTCCTGCACCAGGCATAGAGTCATTTTTCTTCAAGCTAATTCTTATCTCACACTTACTCACTATACTTGCATTCATTTCTATTTGTACTCGGTATCTTTAATGTGTTATCTTATCTATCTATCTATCTATCTATCTATCTATCTATCTATCTATCTATCTATCTATCTATCTCTCTATCTATCTATCTATCTATCTATCTATCTATCTACTCACAAAGTTAGTGTTAAGAATGAGGCCTATCGGTTAGGAGTGAATTTGATCTTGAATTCATGAAACAAGGAATTATTTTCTGAGTTCTGAGTCTGTATCTCTGTACAACGTATAGGACCCGGAGCAAGGATGAATTCTTTCCAAGTTCTTATTCTTCTCCTAACTTCTCAAAGTGAATTTGTATCGGGAGAACGAAGTTTTAGAATGGTAAATTCAACCCTAACTCAGGTATTCCTAGTATACACTTCAATATGTAAATTTCCCCAGCTGAAGTACGTCTTAAACCATGGTTACACAAAATAACACAAAGTCAAATATAGGAATAAAAACCCTCTGCTCTGGTATTTTAGTGCTTATAAAATTCAAAGAAAATTCATCAAATAATTGTTTAATCATAGGGTTTCGTATATTTGGTTCCAGTCAAATATCTTTATACAGCAAATATTATTACAATTTTCAAAATAAACGCTTAAACATCGACATTGTATATTGAGATACTGTTAAATTCAATCGGCGGCCAAGTACGTTAAAGACTTTACTTGAATATTCACGATTTATTACTTTATGACTGTTTTCATAAAAAAGAACATAGCTGAATAAAACGGCTAAAGCCCATTTGCCCACATGTCCACTTGCTGATCCAAGGATCGCCCAGGCCCAACTTTACCATATTCACTGTACAGTGTTCAGGTCCATTGTTTGGACCCGTTCCGATTCTAATAGTTTGGCCCTACACAAATCCATTAGTATCGTTTTACTGAGTGAAATTATTAAAGGTGGAAGCATGGTGGAAGGAAGAAGGGAGTGGGTGGTATCTATATGGCGCTAAAGCCCTGAGCCCGAAACTTAAGATGGAGTGTAGTAATGAAACCCGGTATCGGAAACCCAGTTTCATGAATGGGGTTAAGCAGTTTTGTAGATACCAATATTTTTGTCAAGAAAAATTATTTTATGCGGTTTCTTCTCATTCTCTTTTTGTTTTCTGATTTCTTAAATTAAAAGTTTTGACCTCTAAAAGGAAACTCGGTGGTTTCGTTCAACGATACTCTCTTCAATTTTCATATCTGATTTTACTGATTAACAGTGTACACTGTAGTGTAAGACCTGCTGAGCCCAAAACTTAAGAAAGGGTATCGTTATGAAAACCAGTTTTGAAACCCGGGTTGCATGAGTGTGGTTAGTCAGTTTTATGGTTAGCAATATTTTTGTTATGAAATATTATTTATTCAGTTTTTTCATATTCTCCATTTTTGTCGAATCTCTTAAATCAAAATATAAAAAATATTAAGACCCCAAAAAGAAAACTCGGGAGTTCCGTTCAACGATACTCTTTTAAATTTCGGGCTCTGGGGCCTGGTTTACAGAACAGATTCAATAAATTAATCTATGTATAGATAAGACCTGCGTGATAAATAAATACATCGGGTGTCTCAAAAAAAGGCTTAAAATTGACAATTTTAAGTAACTATTCTTGATGTCCAAAAACGTAAATCTGATCAGAGTTGAGGCTCTGAAATCAACCATTGTTATTTGTTAGAGACAACAACTTGTATTTGTTGATTTATAAAATAAGTTCTCCCAGACTGTACTTTCCCTCCTCGATAATCTAAACCACTTAAACTAAAATCCGTCAAGTGAGGCCATTGTTATTGTTTGTTTTGTCTATTTATGTAAGTACATAAAAACAATTTGATGTTTACAAAAACATGTTTACCGCCAGAATATTTTCTTTTATATTCATTTTAAGACTAGAAAGATTGGATAGTTTTCTCGGCTGAAGGTGTGTGGAAATCTAATCTGGAATTAATGATTCTTGAAATTAAATTAACTTTCGGATAATAAAAATAAAAGTATCTCAGGAACTTTTGCTTAATGAAGAATAAACGTTTTAAATAAAAGAATATATCATTTTATACAGTATCTCCTCAAACCACTGATAAGTCATAATTTGGACCTTGATATTCTTATTCTCTAGGTTTACGAGATCGGAGCTGTCGGAGAGCTATCCTGCTCCAGTTCTTCAGGTAGACGTTGATACAAGGAGGAAATCAGGACGGAAAACTTCTTGATTACTCAACATACTTCTTATCTTGATAAAAGAAAAGTTTTAAATAAAGAGTTCATCAAGGATCGGACAATTCTAAAATGTTGATTTACTTTTTGTTTCAGGTTGGGAGCTCTGTAGTTGGAGACGAACAGGGGACAAAAATTGGTGTCACTTGTTGCATTCTTCCTCAGGTATCAAATCAAATTCTATGTAGGTAAACTTAGAGCTAGAACCTTTCTTCAGAAATCCTTTTGTATGTGGATATACTTTGAGTTTTCTTCTCTAGGTACGAGTCATTACTAGTATTTCTTTCCAGTAAACTTAGAACCTGCATTCTTCTACAGGTTTTTAAGAACCACTATTCCTCATCAGGTTTACTTAAAAACAGTATTACTCTCCAGGTTTACTTAGAACCAGTATTTTTCTCCAGGTTTACTTAGAAACAGTATTTCTCTCCAGGTTTACTTAGAACCAGTATTTCTCTCCAGGTTTTTCTTAGAACCAGTATTCTTCTCCAGGTTTACTTAGAACCAGTATTCCTCTCGAGGTTTGCTTAGAACCTGCATTCTTCAACAGGTTTACTTAGAACCAGTAATCTTCTCCAGGTTTACTTAGAACTAGCTTTTCTCTCCAGGTTTACTTAAAACCAGAATTCCTCTCCAGGTATACTTAGAACTAGTAGTCGTCTCCTGATGTACTTAGAAATAGTATTACTCTCCAGGTTTACTTTGAACTAGTATTCTTCTCCAGGTTTACTTAGAAACAGTATTACTCTCCAGGTTTACTTAGAAACAGTGTTCCTCTCCAGGTTTACTTACAACCAGTATTATTATACAAAGTGATTAAATACACAAGTGGGCCAAACTCATAGTTGGATGACGACATTTTATGTCCCAAGTATTCAAAAATAATATATATATATATATAAATCAAACTGTACGGAGTATACAACAGAAACTCGACTCCCTTTGTTTAAAAACACAGACTTAGAAATTGTATTTAACTCAAATATAGATTAACGTAAATTAAGATTTTAGAAGTAAATTTTTGCTATTTTACTGCACAATAAATAATTTCAGACAGCACAATAATGCCTGCATGCATAATCTGTAAAACAAGGAATGCAGAATTTGTGATATCGAAAAATAAACATCTTCGAAATTATATCTCTTGGTCTTCACTTTTGTATTTTGACAGATTTAAGAGTAGTTGAGAACTAGACATAGCTTTATAGATATTAAGAGAGGCGTATTCAGGTTTTTTTCCCAGGAAGGGCTTACATTTCTTTTTCTTTTTAGGGGGGGGGCAAAACAAAACTAAGCAGTTTTAATGATACATTCTTATAGAATTAGAAGTGCAAGCCTGCCAGGCAAAATCAATGAATTTATTAAGCGACTATATAGTATTTGCATATTTGATTATGAAAATTTTGAAGTTCTTGCTGAAGACGACATTTACATGGGTCTATTTTTCTTAGTCTTTACTTCCCAAAAGAAATCTTTTCATGCAATTATTTCCAAACCAAATAAAGCCTTATGGCCCAACCTGTCGTCGTTGCCTCAGTCTGTTCCACTTTAGTATTTATTAACTTTGATTATTATATACTAGGTAGAACTAGAACAAATATTCATATTGCTAGGTTTACTCCATGTAGACCTAGAACCAATATTCCTATTTAGTATTTCCTACCTAGGTTTATTCCATAATATAATCTCCATGTAAAACTCATATTTTCAATGGTTTTCTCTTAGAAAACATCTTCCCAGGATTAAGTTCAAGTTTTCCAGTAGTAGAATTCATCTCTTTGTACTATCTGCATATTTCTAGATTAAGAAATTCAAGTTGACCTTACTCAATTTCTTTTATATAAATTATTTATTTCATAAATATCCGTACAAATCGTGACGTAAGATAACACATTCTATCAATGCATCTTTTACAGAATATCTTTGTTATTTTTGTTCATGAAGACAGACATTATAATTAATGATTTAAAATCTAGAAGAAAAATCAAAGTATTCATATATACAGTGTTAGGTGATTATATCAATATAATGAAGACGACTTTTTTATTTAAGTTTTATTTTTAACAAGCTTTTTTCGAATTACAAGTTTACAAGTAATTAAAGAGAATCTTTATTAATTGAGAACTTCTATTGACTTCATTGTTTATGTGTATCCATGCTGTTTAACAGCTTAATTAAATCAGAATTGAAACCGAATTATATTGATATAATCGCCTACCACTGTAATTTATATCTATGCATTGTCTGTTGGTATCCAATAAACGGCTGAACTGATTAACTCAAATTTTTGGTGAAACCTTAGATGACCGAGCTTAGAGTTGTTTTATGGCCGGTCAGAATTATAAACTTTCCCTTCATATCTTTTCCTAGTAAAATTTATTTTTAAATAAAAACACAATATCTGCAAAATTGTTCAATGTTATTGCACGTGAACAATCTCTAAATGAACATTTGAACCCTGAACAGTCTCTTTATTTTATTTTATTTAGAATCTGTGTATTGTGTTGCTGATCCTCGTGTTCAATTTCAGGTTCAGAATCAAACAATATTTGCTGATCGGACACATTTCAGAAACCAATATAATCTATTCTTAGACAACAGTCGAATGCATATACTCGATAAATATATTTCTAACCCTACAGCCCTACAGGTATCTGAGACGGCTGAACCAAAAGGAACACAAACATTGCCATTCATTTGGTGAAACATAAAAAGTAATAAAAAATTTAACGTTTTCGATGTTTTTTATAATTTTGGTGAGAATTGGGAAGAGACAAATTGATTTTTATTTGGGTACTTGATTGAAAGTGATTCACAATATTTACATGTAAAAAACTATGTTAGCTAGTAGATGTGTGTCTTTCTATGAGACTATTGAAGCAAGTTCTAAGCTTTGCATCTTATATCTTTGTAATCCAATGCCGTAGACCTTAGATATTTCAAACTATGAATTCTGTTAGATGAGTTTGAAATATCAAAGGTTTACACAATCAGGTGGAAAAAATATAATGTATTAGAAAATCAGAGTTTGTTACAAAGACTCAATTCCTTTCTTTACCATTGTAAATGATTGTTTTGTAAATCTTTCTGATCTCAGTTAAATGTTAGTTAAGAAACAAATGAAATATTTTGATGTCCCATTGGAACATGAATGTAAAGTTCCGGTTTTACAAGAACTTTTAAATACAAGAATGAATAATTTATATGTTGAAGGATTCGATGATTACATAATAACTGAAATGATAAATATGTTATGTAATGAGTAATGATCAATGTCGTCTATTTGTGCATAATTTTGCATATTTTTCTTTTTTCTTTTGTAAAACTGTATATTAAAAAAAATTTAATACAAATTTAAAACTACACCATTTATATATGTGTGAATAAATCTTTATAATATAATAATTATACGTCCTTTACAGAAAGCTATGGAATATCCAGGCTTATTTAACGCTTAAGATTTCGGATGAACTTTGGTTCTGACAGATTTTTCATGTAAACATTTCATTGGACGGACTAGTCGGCGCTATGATGAAACTCCAGAGCCCGAAGTTTTAAAGAATATCGTTGAACGAAACTCCCGAGTTTCCTTTTTGGGGTCTTAACATTTGTATATATTTTGATTTAAGAGATTCGAAATAAAGAAACACTATAAACTGAAGAAAAAAATGATATTTCATTACAAAAATATTGATATTCACAAAACTGCCGAACCCCATTAGTGAAAGCCGGGTTTTAAAACTGGTTTTCATAACGATACCCTATCTTAAGTTTTGGACTCTGAAAGTACAATGTTATGAAAGACATAATCCTGATTTTCTACCCGTGCATGGTATACTGTTTATCTATGATGGTAACCTAGCTCTTGTATATTCGGTCCCTTATCCTACTCTAGCTGCAGCGCTAAGAATCCTATCGTTATTTAGCTGATAGTTATGATCGGATAGCTTGTAGTCTGTGGCGTCTCAAAACGCCCAACCTAACCTTGAATAAAAAGTTTGGTACTTTCAAGTTTTAGGAGTTCGTTCTTTTCTTTGTAATTATTTCCGGAGTTTGTCAATGTTTTCTCCTCTTACTTTTTATTTATAAAAACTGTTTGTTTCTGACTGGTTCAGAAGAGTGACGGGTTCGTGTGCAGGATCAAGATCTACGGTATCCAGGAACAGGACGCAGGTTCATGGATCTGCAGTCTCAAGGAGGAGGCTCAGGGTCTTCAGTTTCCTCTTCAAACCATCATTAATATAGATGTACTTGATATCCACATTACAAGTGGGGTAGTATTATACCTAGAATAATATCAACTGGGAAAAATAAGATGCAGTCTTTCTACTTAGAAATTTTCTCTTTTTATATTCATAGATAAACTTTTAACTTTTTATATTGTTGCTAATTTCTTAAAATTGGTTTGACAGATTTTTGTTTTGCTGGGGTTGGACATTTTCCCTTGCAGAATCTCTTTGGGGAAGAATAGAAATTAAACTTTTCTAAATTTCAGGTCATTTCTCCGTTTAATGTGAAGCTTCATTCGGAGCAGGTTTCCGGAGACATCTTCCTAGTCTGTCAAGCACACGGAGAAGGAACTATTACTCCGGAGATTATTTGGTTCGTTAACTCAATCCAGGTACTCTAGGTTACTTTCATATCTTCTATTTGTATTATTATTATTATTATTCTATTATTGTTATTGTATTTCAGGTTGATTCTGAGTATCCAAATACTTTTCTACCAGCGGAAAATACAATTATTGAAAGTAAACTGAACCAAACACAATTTTTACCCGGAGATATTGTCAGGTATTCTTAAATTTTAGCATATTCATGCATGTTCAATTTTAGAATAATAATTTCCACAAGGTATGCTACTAATATAAAAAGTCTTCACAAATTTGCAGCCAGGGGCGTATACAGGAATATGTCCATGGGGTGCTTAAGTGTTTTTCTTTCAAGAAGGGAGGAAGGGGCTCAGTACCCCAAAACCCCATGAAATCACCTGAACACAATAGTTTTTACTGATCCAGGGAAGAAAATGATTTCGCAGACAATTTCTAATTATTTTGAAACAATTTTTAAAAATCACGACTGGCCTCGGCCTTTCCTGGTGTGGGTTAACACTAAGAATTTGAGCCTGATCAGTTCAGCCGTTTATTGGGTACAAGCAAAAACCAACCAACAAACAAACAAACATACAAAGCAAATATATAGGTAAAATAATATTTGTAGGAAACCTTTATGTTGGTTAGGTTTCCTTAACATGGTTGAGAAAGTATGGATTTGCTTTAAATTTATAATTTCAGATGTCTTCTTCGACAAACTAATCCTTGGACAGGGAAAGTCGTCTTCGAAAGTGCAGAAACTGCAGTTATAAAGGTAAAAATATTTTATTCTAAATGAAAGATATTAATAAATTATATGAAGATAAGGAAAGGGTAGAAGTTCACAATTGTTGTATTTTAATATTTCCATAGAAATCAAATATAACGGTTTGTAAAAACCAACAGTAATTTTTTTTCAATATTTTTCGCCAACGTAAACATTTTGAAAAATGTAATTAAAACAAACTTATCAAGAATATAATTTTGAAAAAGGATAAGCATCTCAAATTCTTGTGGAGACTTTTACAAGATAAACCCCTTGAATGTTTGAAAACCGGATCTAAAAACGACACTTTCAAATTTCAAAACAACTTGATTGTCTGGTTTATATATTAAAGGGAGTAACCGGCTATGTAAGGTAGTTGAACTGAGTATGCAGTGTTGTGGAAAACTTTTTTCGGATTCATTCGAGACATTAAACTTTTTAAAGATCTGTAAATCCTGAGTTTGAGCGCAAATTCGATGTTCAAAAGTTATACTTTGGGGTGGATACGTTTTCAGGATTAGTTTTTTTAATCATGAAATAACGACAACGAAAAATAAAGTAAAAATTACACAGTAATCTAATTAGATGGTTAGGAACATATTTCTCAATAGAAATTTGTCAAAAAATTAATGCTAAAATCTATAATTTCGTTTTCATTATTATATTGAATTTCTTATCTTCTTTGAATTTAATCGCAGATTTCTTCAAATTCTTCAAATGTCGTCTTTTCAATCATAATTCTAAAAAATCTGCGAAAATCTTTTTGACTAATGAGAAACTAGAATAATGTGAAAATAGAAACTAATAATTGAACAAGATTACTTATTTTCGATGATAAGATTAATTTTTATTTTCTCAACATGTTCCTGTACATGACGTCTGTAGTTTATTGTAGAACTTTTTTTACAAGTTATGTCGTCGTTATTTAATAATTTTAAAAAACTAATTCTGAAAACGTATTCACCCACAAAGTAGGAGTTTTGAACGTCGAATTTGTGCTCAAACTCATGATTTACAGATCTTTAAAAAGTTTCATATGTCTCAAATGAATCCGAAAGAAGCTTTCCACAACATTGCATACTCATGGTTCAACTACCTTACATAGCCGGTCACTCCCTTTAAACGAAGATTTCTTTTCTTTAGATTTAAATTTGTTCTATCTGAAATAGGATTTAAGGGTGAATACCTTTTCCTATGTTGAAGCTTTAGAAACCTCTGCAGGGTTTATAGTTCTCGGACTAGTTCTTTTCCTGGCTCTTCTTATCCTTGTGGTTCTATTAGTAAGGTTGGTTTCAGTTTAGCAAATTAGATAAAGGTCGTCTTAAATTTACCGGTTTTAAAATCATTTCGGGCTTTTTAATGCTTTCCATATTTTAACTACAACTGAATAGAAGGCCCCCAGACAGAGAAAGGCCCCCAGAGCATGGAGCAAATAGTAAATTTTATTTTGTTGTGAAGTAAGACGACCTTCTATTAACGTTGTCATTCAAGCTTTAAGCTTCAAGGCTTCAAGTAAATTGTCGTATCAGCGGCAACCTTTACAATTAGGAAATGAAGCTTTTTCTAGTTTTGTTCCTGACCTAAAATTGGTTTAGAGCTTAAATACATTTGGTATGATTTCTACGGTTTGGTTCAGTAATTTGAAACTAAGAGAATTATTGAAAATAAGCTTGAAATTCCATATACTTAACTATACTTATTTAGGATTAAGTATTAAGAGGTCAAAATTATTTCAAAATATGGACAAAATATGTTAAATAAAATTTAATACAATTTGTTAAAATATATTTTGAACTCTCTTTGACTATCGAATGTTTTTTATTTTTCTGATGAGATTTTTATCTTGAATACTGTTCATAAAGTAAAGTACAAATAGTGTGTGTTACAGGAATTCTCTGAATTCTGGTACCTCCGGGAGCTATAAGATCCAAGAGGAGAAGGTCGTATTTTCTCCAAGTGGTCTAAAACCAGAGGACAAGATTACGGAAGAGAGTAATCTTCTAGCTATAACTACTCAGGGTAGGTTCATTAAAGGAACTCCATTTATTAAATAACTGCAACTATAAACTTCTTTCTCTCTTCGGTTAATAATTAAATAAGCCATTTGAAGATCAGATTCAAAGCAGAAGATTTAATCTAAACCTGGAATCGTCATATTTTTCGTCTTTTGCAGTCTCACCTTAATTGTGGGTAACCGTGTAGCTAATGAGCAAGGAGACATCCCCATTCCTGGAAAATTGGGGGGACGTCCCCCCTGAAAAAAAAGCTAGGGCACAACTATAGAGATGTGGCAACTTCTAGTCCCTTTTTATAATATTTACCAATAAATTAAAAATTATTAAAGTGTAAGTGAGCACCACATTCACTCTTCCACTCCTAGGAATTTGATATAAAAACGACCAAAATACCTTAATAAAATTTTCAGACAACTCAAGGATTTCTGCAACAACAAACGAACAAGGAAATCGACGAATTTTTCCCCCATTTCTTTAAGAAAACCAGGATATCGTTTAAGGATACCGTGATGGCAAACATTTCCCAAAATGTCGCTGAAAATTATTAATAGTCCGTTTAACTTTAATCAAATACTTGAGAAGGTAGGGATGAGGAGGGAGGGGGGAAAGGGGGGATAGGGATGAGGAGGAGGGGAGGGGGAGGCCCCGGTATACAGCTTTTGTCCAATTTCCAACAAGTACACTTTGTTCTCCAACTTACCATCTTGAAGAGTTTGTGACATTGTGACAATAAACATTAATTCCTTCTCTAATAGATATTTGAGAAACTTATCAATATTATATTTCAGGAGAGGATAAGTATGTTAGGCTGGTAAAGTTGGACACACAGAGCCCTCTATTATTATACAAAGGAAACTTTTGCTTGGCAATTCATGAAGATATATTCAGTATTATGTTTGGTGGCTTTAAAGCTTTAATTTTTTGAAAATTATTCCCAAGCAAAAATTGTATAGGCTTAAAGAATTCAGAATTACTTAAAAATGGAGAAAATCGAGATTTAAATGCTCAATCTGGAACACAAACCAAAAACGGTTCTCTTGCTCCTACAAGATCTACCAGTTCTCCAAACTTTGCAAGAATTAACAGATTTCCAGTTCCTATAAATATTAACGGTTCCTCGGTTTCTAAGAGATCTAACGATTCTCCTATACCGTTTATAGGAGATAACTCTCCAAGATCCAACCTATCCGTAGCTTCTTCCTTAATAAGTCAATCTTATGCGTATCCAATACCTATTAGAGAAACGGATTCTCCGGAGTCATTAAGATATATTCCTCAGGGTCCTTCTAGAGTAGGAGGTTTGAATAGTAATTATTTGCATTCTATTCATCCGTCAGAATTTCCACTTCCCTATTATCCGCCGTCTCCGGAGTTTCAAAACTTTCATCCAGGTTTTGTTCCTGGGACTTATTCTCCGGTTTATCTCTATCCTACTCACGGAGCTTTAACGTCCTCTCCAATACATCCTCTGAACACTCTTCAACAATATCCTAGAGAAGCAGAACCTTCTCCACAGTACTCAACCCCTTTACGCCCACAAGATATTACTGAAGGTTTAAACGAAAACCCAGATTTCTCTAAGCTGGGAGAAAACTACAAAAACCCAAGGAAAATAGTATTTGTATGCCGCAATAAATTACAAGAAGACGACATTCTTTCTCTACTGAAGTAATTTTCATGCTTAGTGGGACACCCTGTATAATGTTTATGATGATCTTGATGACCTTAATTAGCATTATTAGTAAATTTTTTAATTAAAGATTTAACAAATACAATTCCAATAGTTTAAGAGAAAAGGATGATCTCATTAAAACTGAACCAAGAACTCAAATTGGAGATCAACTAGATAGTTTAAAATCATCTGTTCTTAATAAGCCTTTTGATACAACCGGAGAATTCTCAATCTATCCTAATTCTAACCTAGGAGCTGGAGTACAACTTCAAACTGAACCCGAACCTGAAAACAAAACAGGAATTAATTCTTTGATAGAAACTCATTTATAAACAAATGAAAATAAACCTAATTTACAAATCATACATATAATAAAATATACAACAAACAAAAACTTTTAAAAGTTGGGGCCAGGGTTGTGGGTTAAAATGATCTTTTATCGATATATCTTTATGGTTTTATTAATAATTTTACAAAACTTTAAATAGCTTGAAGATTACATGAGATAAGAAACTAATCACTGGACTCAATTTCATAATCATTATAAATCTTTGCAACCTAATCGTAAGCTTTTATTTAGAAGAATTCTTAGGTTAAAACATCAAAGGTTTATGATATCAGATTGCATAGATTTAAAGGCTTGAAAATAATAGTTTGGAACGAGTTTTCAAGAAGTCCTTTTTTCGAGAAAAAGTCTTTAATCTTTACTAAAAAATTATCTTTTCATACATATAATAATTTCCTGCTTTTTTCTATTTTAAATTTTTCTTTTCTTCTCCTTACCCCTGATGGGGTTAATATTTCATTCTTTTTGCACAAGAACGATTAAATAGAGGTGATAAAGAAAAAAATTAATCTTTTTTGCGAAATCTGTAATTAGCAGAAGAATACGTATGTATTAGGAGTATTTGATCGTAAAAATGTGCAAGAGAGATATGCTACTGTCAAATTCACATGAGAGGGCTTTAATGTCGTCTTCATATTCCACAGTTGTATCCACTATAATCCCTATATCTTTGAGACCAGATGTTTTAGAAAAATCAAAGGTTTACACTATCAGTTTGCAAGATTTAGGGATTAGAAGGTGCGAGTGTGAGTCTAGTAATCAGTTCCATTATTTAATCAATAATTCTAACCTACAATGAAGCCTACAAAAACCTAGCATTCTTATAATTATTCAGATCACTCAATTCTTAATCCAGCTTAACCTTGCTTAATTGAAAATGTTAATTATATGTATCCATAAATTATGGCTTCAGGGACTTTAGGAATTAATCAAATAAAGTTTTCAACTAACAATCTAAAACGCAAACCATAAAATATTTATAAGGTTTAAAAGTTGTCTGGTATATTGACTAATTTAATATTAATGATTGATTTGATATAAATACTAAATGAAGGGGTTGAAAGGGTTGCATGTTGTATTCTTTAATTTAGAATCCTAAAACTGGATTACACGATTAAAACACGGGAAACCAAGTCTATATATATTTTTTGTTCTTCTCAATAACGTGAAACCCTCTGAACCAATTAAATACAATTTTTTTTGTTTTGTTTAAGGTTCAAAAATGTGTCCTCCATATTTTGTTATCGTAATAGTTCAAAAGCAAGTAAAAACAAAAATTTAAGGGTGTTGATAAAAACCTCTGGATGATGAATAATACAAATTTTCCGTTATTTTTCAAAACCTTTCGCTTTTTAACGGAACTTTACCAGCCCTGCATGTTACCAGCCCTGCATGTTACCAGCCCTGCAAGTTACCAGCCCTGCATGTTACCAGCCCTGCATGTTACCAGCCCTGCATGTTATCAGCCCTGCATGTTACCAGCCCTGCATGTTACCAGCCCTGCATGTTACCAGCCCTGCATGTTACCAGCCCTGCATGTAACCAGCCCTGCAAGTTACCAGCCCTGCATGTTACCAGCCCTGCATGTTACCGGCCCTGCATGTTATCAGCCCTGCATGTTACCAGCCCATGTTTTCTAACTGGGTAGCTCGTTTCCTTAAAAAGCTTTAAAATCATCCAACCTTAACCTTTGCTGTTTTATTATTCTATTAATGGCCGGAAATTGACAGAAGTAACTCAATAATTTCAGTTTCATGAAGGATATATCATATATCCATCCACTAAATTAAACCAAACCTGGTTTTTAACCTGCCGAAATATTAGGAACTAGCTTGGTAACCCAGCTTTTCCTGAAAACTAAGTTTTTTCTATAAACATCAACATTATTTATTTAGAACTTTTAAAACAAAACTAAAAATATTCCCGTGGTTCTGTCGAATTTCCAAATCAAAATTTGAGACAATTCGGTCAGAGGGTTCCTTAGTTATGATCGGACATCTGTAAACAAAAAAAAGAAACAGAGATAACTACTTTAATATCTATAGATCTTGATAGAAACAGTTTTCTGCGCTTTATATCTATAGATCTAGATAGAAACAGTTTTCTGCGCTTTATATCTATAGATCTAGATAGAAACGGTTTTCTGCGCTTTATATCTATAGATCTAGATAGAAACAGTTTTCTGCGCTATATATCTATAGATCTAGATAGAAACAGTTTTCTGCGCTTTATATCTATAGATCTAGATAAAAAAACAGTTTTCTGCGCTATATATCTATAGATCTAGATAGAAACAGTTTTCTGTGCTTTATATCTATAGATCTAGATAGAAACAGTTTTCTGCGCTTTACATCTATAGATCTAGATAGAAACAGTTTTCTGTGCTATGAATCTATAGATCTAGATAGAAACAGTTTTCTGCGCTATATATCTATAGATCTAGATACAAACAGTTTTCTGCGCTATATATCTATAGATCTAAATAGAAACAGTTTTCTGCGCTTTAAATCTATAGATCTAGATAGAAACAGTTTTCTGCAATATATAAATATAGATCTAGATAGAAACAGTTTTCTGCGCTTTATATCTATAGATCTAGAAAGAAACAGTTTTCTGCACGTTATATATATAGATCTAGATAGAAACAGTTTTCTGCGCTATATATCTATAGATCTAGATAGAAATAGTTTTCTGCGCTTTATATCTATATATCTAGATAGAAACAGTTTTCTGCGCTATATATCTATAGATCTAGATAAAAACAGTTTTCTGCGCTTTATATCTATAGATCTAGATAGAAACAGTTTTCTGTGCTATATATCTATAGATCTAGATAGAAACAGTTTTCTGCGCTTTATATCTATAGATCTAGAAAACAGTTTTCTGCGCTAAATATCTTTAGATCTAGATAGAAACAGTTTTCTGTGCTTTATATCTATAGATATAGATAGAAACAGTTTTCTGCGCTTTATATCTATAGATCTAGATAAAAACAGTTTTCTGTGCTTTATATCTATAGATCTAGATAGAAACAGTTTTCTGCGATTTATATCTATAGATCTAGATAAAAACAGTTTTTTGCGATTTATATCTATAGATCTGGATAGAAACAGTTTTCTGCGCTTTATATCTATAGATCTAGATAGAAACAGTTTTCTGTGCTATATATCTTTAGATCTAGATAGAAACAGTTTTCTGATCTTTATTTCTATCGATCTAGATAGAAACAGTTTTCTGCGCTTTATATCTATGATCTAGATAGAAACAGTTTTCTGCGCTTTATTTCTATAGATCAAGATAGAAACAGTTTTCTGCGCTTTATATAGATCTAGATAGAAACAGTGTTCTGTGCTTTATATCTATAGATCTAGATAAAAACAGTTTTCTGCGCTATATATCTATAGATCTAGATAGAAACGGTTTTCTGCGCTTTATATCTATAGATCTAGATAGAAACAGTTTTCTGTGCTTTATATCTATAGATCTAGATAAAAAAACAGTTTTCTGCGCTTTATATCTATAGATCTAGATAAAAACAGTTTTTTGCGCTTTATATCTATAGATCTAGATAGAAACAGTTTTCTGCGCTATATATCTATAGATCTAGATTGAAACAGTTTTCTGCGCTTTATTTCATTCAATTTAAAAAGCATATCCAAGGGTAAACATAGTTAACAAAATATATCATAAAAAAAAGAATATGAACACGAAATAATTTGATTATTTCTGTTTTATCTGTTGAAAATTGAAAGAGGATCCAATCCCTGTCTCCAATAATTTGTAACCCAGAAAAATAACTTGAAACTTTCATAACCTTCTTATTTTTGCAAATAATCAAAACTAAACAATACAAATCCAATCTTATCCAATAGAATACTAGTTCAAAATAAACCAATCCACCAGAAAACCAATCAAGTAGATAACCAATTCACCATTAAACCAATCCACCAGTAAACCAATCCACCAGCAAACCAATTCACCAGTTAACCAATTCACCAGTAAACCAATCCACCAGTAAACCAATCCACCAGTAAACCAATTCACCAGTAAATTACTCCACCAGTAAACCAATCCACAGGTAAACCAATCCACCAGTAAACCAATCCACCAGTAAACCAATCCACCAGTAAACCAATCCACCGGTAAACAAATTCACCAGTAAACCAATCCACCAGTAAACCAATCCACCAGTAAACCAATCCAACAGTAAACCAATCTATCAGTAAACCAATCCACAAGTAAACCAATCCACCAGTAAACTAATCAGGTAGGAAATCAATCCACCAGCAAACCAATCTATCAGAAGACCAATCAAGTTGGAAAGCAATCCACTAGTAAACCAATCTATCAGTAGACAAATCCACCCGTAAACCAATCTAGTCGGAAACAAATTCAATAGGAAATCAATTCATTTGAAAACCAACAATCCGATAGGACACAATCCAATACGGAACCAATCCAAAAGGACCCAATCCAATATGGGAAACCAATCCAAAAGGAGACCAATCCAATGGAAAACCAAGCCATTGAGAGGCATGAAACCAATCTTGTAGAAAACCAATAGTAACCCAATCTAGTAGGAAATCAATCCAATAGGAAACCAATCTAAATAGAAAGCCGTTTCAATTGGAAACCAATCCAGCAGGACACCAATTTATTAGGAGACCACAATAAAATAGGTGAAATTCCACTAGGCAGTCATTAAAAAATGAGACAAATCATCTCGCATTATACAGAGAAACAATCCACTATAAGCAAATCCAATAGAGCTAAATCACTAGGTAACAAATCCACTATGGGACCAATCCCGTGAAGGTCAAAAATACTGTTAGTTAATGGAAAACCAATCCAGTCGGTATATAATAATCTCACCAATTTAAACGTTTATATAATTACGTAGCATTTCTCTGGTGATGATATTGTAATAATTGTGTGAAATTCATCACTAGTATCTCAGGGGTATATGTATACAAGATATTTGGAGAGGGGGGGGGCACACATTTGTAGTAAATAGAGGGAAGCACTCCTCTTTAACAGCACCGTTGGGGCATAAAAACCCTGGAAA